GCCTCTGCACAGAGCAGAAGCACCAACAGGATCATCCACAGGAGAACCATGATCAGCTTCAGCATCCACAACAAGACGGAGTCGTCTGAAAGCAGCTCTGATGGACTCTGATGAACTCCTCTACACTTCCTACTTCAGGTGCTGTTGCTCACAAACCACAAATACCAAGTAACTCTACAGGAAGTGAAACTTGTTCACCTTCAGCCAGAAATCTGCATCAGAAATTTTATACAGTAACTCTAAAGGAAGGTTGACCGTTACACTTAGACGACAGTGATGTCTTTAAAGTACAGAGGAGCAGAGAATGTACTGACTCATGATCATGTAGTACTAGTAGTAAATGTTGCAGTAGAAATAAAAAAACAGGATTCAAATTGTTGAAACAAATCAAAAGCATAACCAAATAGCATCCTTACTTTAACATGTCTGAGCTGAAAAAGTGGCTCCGTCTTGTGTCTCTAACCAGTTACTGCGTACTTTTATACTGCAGTCTGTACTACAGATACTTCTTATTCTCTCTCTAACAGCGGTGAAGCTTCAACTACAGTATGTAGCAGTAGCCTGTGTACTACTACATGACTGCAACATGCACTACGCCCTCTGGCAGTACTGCTTTTATTACAACTGTTTCTCCTTCATTTGCACTACAGCTGTCATCTATATTTAGTTTATACTTCTCTGTTTCCTTTTACTTCATTTTCTACTGTACTTTCTAGTTTTCTATTGTTCTACTGTAAAACGATGGGTAATAACTTTTGTTATGAGCAGAATTACTACCTCATTACTGCCCCTACTGTCAGCACTGATACTGCAAACTTAACCCTGAAACTGGGTCAGACAGTCTGTCCTTGACTTCAGCCTGGAGATGGTTTCAGTTCTAACACTGTTAGTGAATCTCTCTGTCACCTGATCTGATGGTGTTTAATTGGTGGTTTGTGCTGCTACTCTCAGTCTGATCACTGCGGTCATTATTATTTCAAATATCTTGATAGTTCTCATGTTTTATGCTCAGTAACTTTGCTTTCTGTTCTTCAGTAGCCTTCCAACTGCCTGTGTGAAACACCTGAATAATTTTTTCATGTATAATGTTATACCTGTAATACAAGTATGTGGAACAAAAGGGTAAAAAAGGAAGCAGCTTTTATTGCTCTTACACGACACTCCAAACAAAAACAGAAAAATCATAAAGAAACAAACAAAAACTAGAAGCTAGGAAAGGAAAACAAATGAACAAGCAAACTATGACGCTATGAAAACATGGAAACACAGCCTATGGGGACAACACGACAACAAGCAGGGGAGATGTGGACAAAAGATTAACCAGAGGCTGGACAATAGGTTGGGACACAGCTGAACGTAATTAGTCACAAAAGGGACAGAGGAAGCAAAAGTGAAGTCAAAGCAAACAGGACAAGAGATTTCCAAAATAAAACAGGAAGCTACACACACACACTGAGACTCACCCCAAGACACATGAGCTTGACACAAGGACAGGGGAAACGAGACAAACTACTCTCTACCAGACATGGACACAAGACAGACTAGGGAGACGAGGAGCAAAACACAGAGATGAACATGTGAACAGGGACAGAGACAGACACGGTATGACCGAGAGACTGAAAGAATAAGAGAAAACACAGAGATGAGGAGACGAGGACAGAGTGGACATGCAGCTACATGAACAACATATATAGAGCTAAAAATGCAAATGATAAAAAGTCAGTATACAAAACTAAAGACCAGCTAATACAGAACTAGAATATGGAAATCTCCTAAATCCAAAAGAACGAGTCACAAAACCAAAATCAACTTTAAAACTGGATCCGAAATATTACAAAATATCTCTAATATATAAATATTGTGATATTTAACAGAAAAATAAAATATATATGAATAAAGTTGGAATTGAGGTTACAATTTCAGGACCATGGAAAGTGCATGGAGTTTTCATCATGATCTGATGATCTGTCTCAAACACATTCTTAGTGTTGGACCTGCACTAATTCAGCTGCCTGCACTTTAACAATGTTTTATTTTTTAAACAAACACAGCAAAGTGCTACTGTTAACACCATCAGGTATTTTATGCGTCGCAGCCCACAAAACTAACCACACTTGCAGTCTTATTAGGACACTGCTATTTTGTCCTTTTTAGTAGATATGGTCATATTTACATACACAAAGGAACGTAAACCTGACAGTTACAGCATTGCTAACACAGGTGACAGTAGAAATATGTAACAACCTTTGAATTTTCTAAACCAAAAACGAATGAATCAAACTGAAAATGTGCACAAACATGGATTGCATGTACTTTAAAGGGTAGTACACGAGTATGGTTTTGCTTCACCTGCAGAAAAAATAAGACTTCCCTGAAACTGACATTTTCTGGAGGACAACGTGTTTCTAAACCTGTAGATGTTCAGGATTCCTCTGCTGTGTGCACTAGCATGTCCCACATTACTCAACACTCTGGCTTTGAACTGTCTGCTGATAGTAACTCAGCATACAAATGTGTGTGTTCTCGTCTTTGCCCCACATTTCATGATGGTGCTGTGGGTCTGTCCACTGTGGGGAAACCACACGAAGCCAGATATCCAAGAAGACACAACGTCCATGACTTCCAAAGAATCTCACACTGTGATTGGCCAGAGCATTCAGGGATAGCTCAGTAGGTAGTGTGGTTGCCCCATGATCGGAAGGTTGGGGGTTTGAATCCACTGAACGGCTCCCCTGAGGTACCCCTGAGCAAGGTACCATCCCTACACACTGCTCCCTGGTGCGCCTGTTTAGTGGCTGCCCACTGCTTCACTGAGTGAATGGGTCAAATGCAGAGAGAGTAATTTCCCCACGGGGATCAGTGAAGTATACATCATTATTATTATTTGACAGGTTTCCACTTGTACTCATCTTAACAAACTCCGGGTGCTTTGTCAGTGTTTCTGTCTCTCTGTTTGTTTTTTTCATGGTAGAGTTTGAGCTTTGTGTGTGTGTGCAGTGATTATCCACAGAATTAGGTTTGTTTTTAATGCCGTGCTGCCTCATAACAAGAAATCCAGAAAGTCTTTTATGAAGGGACGTCATTGATGAAACTGAAGCCTCGCTGGTTCAGAAAGTGGTTCAAGTGTTGGTGTGATTTATGTGCATATACAAAACTCAATGTATGCCCACATAATTTACGTGTGTGTTGGAGACATCACGTGAAAGTTTTTTCTCCAAAGCTAGAGAGCTCATTACTAAAAATCTAACTGACCAAGTCCAAAATATTTTTAGAGAATGTGAATGAAGTCACCATCAGCTGAATATTTGTAAGCACAATCATTGTCCCATCACTGGAAAGCAGCGCAACACTTAATGTCTCATGTCCTGTTTATTTAAACACTGACTGAAATCATATTGATCAGGATTTTTCCACATTGATGGACTTTTATTATCCTTGTAAAAACTGATGAAATTAATTAACTACACAAAGTCATATTAAGGTGTTTTTATGTTTTTATTTCTATTCTTTGATTATCTCCATGCTGACACTGTTGGAACACAGCCACAAGGCCATAACAAATAGTTGAAATGAGCACATGAAACCTTGAGAAAGGAACTTTTTTTTAACCCCTTGGAAGAAAAGTTTCAAGGCTTCACTACTATTTACCCTTGCAGACTTTCACAGAGCATTAAATCCCTCTATCTCTTCGAGAGAGATGATGTCACCTATTTTCTTGTAATTTCTCACATGAACATTTTTTTTGTAGTTTCAGTTCTGTTTAAGCTCTGAATGTAAATCAGCGGATTCTGTTTTTGCACACACACATTGTCACACAGTAACAAAAGCACAACATGACACATTACGCTGTCTCATTATTTATTTAACAAAAGCTAAACCAACTGTTAAGCCCAGCCTTACTGTTTCCGTAGGAATAAACAGGATTTGTAGCACCCAGGTGCACATCAGTAACTGATCATCAGTGAGCGTGAGCAGCTCTATAAAAGCAGCATTGTTGGCAGGTTGCAGGTCTGGAGCGTTCAGGTGTTTGTTAACACAACGCAATGATCTTCTAAATTCACTCCACCGTCAGGTGGTCTTGAATTGAAAAAAAGAAAAAAAAAGAAAAACTACCTCTCACACTCTACTTGATCTATTTATGACTTTTTTAAATGTAATTTTCAGTCTCTGGTAGTTTTACAATTTATATTGTTTTTATTTTTTTTAAATCTCAAGATTTTCAGACACAGCCTTTTTTTGTCCAACATGTTTCATTGTAACATTCACACTGTGTTCACTATAATGTGATGAATGAAAGTGAACTGTACACATATTTACAGGTTTTTACAGCAGCCTCTGGGTCTGGTTTATCCACCTGAAGTTCTGAAGCACTTTAAAAAAGGTTTGGCAAAAAGTTGTGAAATCTGAATCCAGCAGGTATCATCCACCAGTCCAGGTGTGTCTGTCAGCTTTGAGGCAATGTGAAGCAAGGCAGGTGAAGTTTGTAGTAAATGCCCTCTGATGGAGGAGCAGCAGATCGAGGCGGGGGCTGGATCTTCTTCTTCTGAAACACAACAGCAGCACTGAGTACAAACAAAGTAGCACAGAAGGAGAACAATGGGCATGAGCTGCAGGGTCACCTGTACACGTTAGGGCCTTTCCCACTACTAACACTCGGCTTTGTTTGACTCAACTTGGTCTTTAGGTACATAATTTTCCATTAGGTGGTAGTACCTGATACCAGGTACTAAAAAAAGTAGCTGGTTCCAGTTCCTTGTTTTAGAACCTGTTGAGTTTCAAGGGATCTGAGGCGACATGCAACATCAATAGACTCCATGCCACCGATTGGCTAGTTAGTGGCATCATTTAACGAGTAATGAGAGCGAATTCTTCAAAAACTAAACAGCATTTTTGTGTTACTATCGCATACAAGTGATGTCACAGGATTCGCTACTCAATTGTACCAAACTGACCCAAACTGGGTCGAGTTGTGTAGATACTGGTCGAAAAGTCTGAGTTACCTGTGGAGCCTCCAGCCTCTCACTGGTCCCAGCTGGAGGGAGGTTTGCCTGATACTTGCTGATTCTCCTCTTCAGAGACAGCAATACACAACTGAGACCTGCCAACAGACCATCAGAGGAGTCACTTCACCTTCACACTCACATCAGCACTCATCATATACAACACATTTCAGGAAGCACAGTCAGCTGCTCCTCCCAACAATGTGACACCTAATGAGTGCATAAAGGTTCCTTCCTCTCACTCCTTCCAGCAGAGCTTTGTATCATTCACAGTTCAAACTAATCCTTCTTTATCTCATCCTGGACAATAACGCACTCTGAAAATGTTTTTGTTTTTCCTAACAAACTGCTGACTTTAACTAAATAAATTACATGTAAATTTTCTTTATAATTGTGTTACACAAGTGCAATGTAAAACATTTCATGTAATGGAAACTGGTAAAACTGATATACAAGTTTTTATAAAGCACTTTTTTCAACTATTTGAATAAATAAACCTTTGATTTGACATATGTTACTTAAACTTGTTGCTTCATGTTTAGTGAAGGTGAAAAATCTTTTTTCTGAGTTCAGCTTCATAGTTCAGTTTTTGTCCTGATCCTGAGTGTGACCCAGTGTTTTGTGTTTAATTTATATTTGGTGATTATTGTTATTCATGGTTTTAGTTCTTTTGAGGTTATATTTTGTGTTTCTGGTTTCTATTTTCAGTTTCTTTACATTCTCTGTGTCCCACGTCTGGTTACTTGTTGCCTCTGTGCTTCATGTTACTTCTGTTTCCAGATCTGTCATGTTTCCACGTCTTAGTGTCTACTCTGCATCTTTGTGAATTGTCTCATGCTTCCTGTTTTACTTTGGTAGTCCTCGTCTTATGTAAACGTTTTTACATTTTGTTCCTTTGGTCTCATCATGTTTGATTACTCCTGGCTGTGCTCTCCTCCTGTGTCTCATTCCCTCGTTATCGCTCTGTGTATTTAAGCCCTGTGTTCCTTTTTGCCAGTGTTGCATTGTGCCCTCACTGTGCTGGCATTCCTCCCCCTCCCCCACTGCTGCCATGCTTCTTGGTATCTTTGTCTCTAGTTTTCTAGCTTTCCAGTGTTTAGTTATTAATTTCCAGTTTCCATGTTGTAGTTTGCATTTGATTTTTCCCCCGCTATAGAACAATAAAGCTGCCTCTTTAAGTTTTCATTCTGTGACACACAGCCAAACCATGACAGTTTAGCTCCACCCCCTTTAAGAGGACCCTAAAAATTGCACCTGCTGAGGGACAACACCCGTGCTGTCTGTGTTTGGACATGCTGCACTTTCAGTTCACACTGATCATTTTACAAAGGTTTACGTCATTCATTAAACTTTTCACGTGAACATCTGGTCTTCATGCAGCAAAAGCAGAATTTAAGACCCTTTTAATGGACTTATCTCAACAAAAACTAACGAAAGAGCAAATTAAAATCCTTGAAGTAATCTTGAGAGCTGCATTTGTACAACACAGATGTTATTCTGTAAAATTTTATTAACTTTAGTTAAGATGTTTGCATCCAAACATGTTTTACTCAAATGATAAAATAACAAACACAGACATAAAAACAGCTTCATTAATGAGCAGGCGGTTTGATTGCTGTTCTGTAACATGATCTAATGGTTGCACACTGTGGAGACATGGTGGTACTAGCAGAAGAGCAGAGACAACAAAGCTTCAGACAAAGTAACAGACTCACAGATCACCACAAGAACGAGTGCAGCGTTCAGGCTCAGAGAGCTCAGGATGAAAAGCTCACTCTGCTGGTTGCTGTCGGTGAGTGCGACAGGTTTTTGAGTTACATCTGAAAAGAAAAGGGAGACAGATTTATGAACAAGTGTGTGAAACATGTTTTACATGTCTGAGGACTTTTCAGCTGATAGTTTAAGAAGTTTGAACTGGCCCAGCTGTGAATACTTTTTAACCTTTTTTTTTAACCTTTATAATTCACACTTTAACTTTTGAATTTGCCACTCCTCTGTAAGAAAAATGCTTTGGTGGTCGCTTAAATCACTTGTCTCAAAACTGACATCAGACAAAGCTCACAACCCGCCCACTTGTCTTCACTAAAGGTTAGCGTATCTGTTGCTGCTACAAGAGGGTGTATTTTGCTGACATTTATTGGCCTCTGGTTTCCACATCACTGTTGGTTTCCTACTGTATCATTTTGAGGCATTAGACAGCTATTTCATAGAAATTCACAGCAATCAAATTAATAAAGGTTACATAAAGGTTGTGTTTTATACAATTTTAAACAAGGTGGATGTTCATTGTTCCATTAGCCCACTCCTGTGTTACTGATAGAGTTACTTCAAGCTCAGCTGAGTTCATTGATACCCATGTAGTCTGAGACTGTTTGGACCTTTATTTTGTTATGTTGCTCTTCAGACTAGTCTAGTCTTTTTTTACACCTTAAATAGGAAATGTGCTGCATTTCTCTGTCAGACTCACATCAGAGGTGTAAAAAGAAGAAAACCACAATTTTACTGCCAGACCTATATACTTTTGACATATTTAACTGACAGTGGGGCATTCTGACACCACATCCTCTAAAAAAGTCAATGCAAAAATGTTAACTAGTCAGTTACCTGAAATAAGATGGAAAGTCTCCACAAACTGAATGCTGCCTCCTCTCTTGATGCCACAGAAGTAAAGCCTGCAGTCCTCTGCTGTCAAGTTTTTAATCACGAGTTTGTTTCCCAGGATTGAAAATTTGGTTTCAAAACCAGGAGAGTAGTAGGTAGAGTCTGCTGAAGAAAAACTGCGGCCGATACCTGCTCTGAACTGACTGTGGATCTCCATGTACCAGTATGGGTCTGATGTCTGATTGGAGCAGGTTAGAGTGACATCGGTCCCCAGCTCTCCTCTGACCTCGGTCACGTTCTCGGCCTCTGCACAGAGCAGAAGCACCAACAGGATCATCCACAGGAGAACCATGATCAGCTTCAGCATCCACAACAAGACGGAGTCGTCTGAAAGCAGCTCAGCTCTGATGGACTCTGACACAGAAGTGCTCTGTACTTCCTACTTCAGGCACTGATTATCTTGTGTGCAACACCTTCAGACAAACCACAAATACCAAGAAACTCTACAGGAAGTGAAACTCCTTCACATCCAGCCTAACGTCTGCAGCATTGACTTTACTTTGTGCAATCACCATTTCATGTATTAAATTGATCTGGCCTAATTATACAGTTACAATGCGCATATATATTTGGAGTGTGGTGGGGGGCAGCTTAGAGAGGTAGCTGTGTGTTATGAAGAGATAAAGAGTCTGATTAATCCTGCTGCCCTGACCTCTAAAGATAGTACTAGTAATACATGTTTTAGCAGAAGTAACAGCAGAAGCTACATCAATGTAAATTCTGAAACACTGAACAGCAGAGCTGATGGTCATCATTGGTCGAGCATGTTGATGAGCTGATCAGGTGGCTCCATCTTGTGTCTTCAAGCTGTTATAGCAGAAAAACACAAATATTTAAATATCTAGAACTCTCATAGTACTCATATTACACTTTTTTCTGATTGCTTACAGTTTTTTCTGAATGCTTAAACCCTAACTGTGATTCCTGTAGCACAATCTCTAAAACTATTCAGACTTATAGCAAAACCACTCACTGAGTTTGCAAAACTAAAAGCACAAAAACTGTTTTGCACTCAGTTTGCAATTTTGTAACACACACTTTGCAAAACTGTAGGCACAATTCACTGCACAACACTCAATTACCAAATTTCCAACACAGTCCTAGCAAAAGTATACACATGTATGGCTATCATTAACACTAATTTGCCAACTGTCTGGCACACTTTCACATGTGAAAACTTTTTTAGATAATTAGTTCACTTTGCAATCAGCCTAAGCACTATAATACAGGTAAGCTGTGTGTGCGGAGTACAATGGAGGGAGCAGGAAGAGTGAGAAGTAGAGGAGGCCGAGGAAGAGGACGTGGAGGTGAAGAAGTAGGATGAAGAGGACGACAAGGACAAGGAGGAGCAAGAGGAAGACGAGGAGGGGGGAGAGGAAGGGTAGGAAGAGTAAGAAATAGAATTGCTGATGACATCAGAGCTACAATAGTGGACCATGTAATCAACCGTGGAATGACCCTGAGGGTAGCTGGCCAACGGGTCCAGCCTAACTCGAGCCGCTACACTGTAGCAAGCATCATAAGGACATCTTGAAATGAGAATCGGTTAGTACAGTCACTTCGCACAAAGATTTGTAGCACTGCCATATGCCAATGAGAAACACAAAAACAAGTTTAGGCCACTGAGAATTTGGTTTAGGGAAGGGAGTTTAATGTTTTAGTGATTCAGAAAAACTTTAATGAAACCTTAAACCTGCATTCTTTCCAATATCCAGCAGGGGGAGACTTGTAGCTATAAAACGATATCTGAATGGACCGGAGTTTGTGAGAAAATAAGTCTACTGATCACCTGATATCTGATCATTAGTGATGGGATTTCCAGCTCTTTTTAGAGAACCGGCTCTTCAGGTTGTTTTGTTGCTTTAATTAATTTATTATTAACAATAATATAAAATTATGCACAAAAGGAATTACTAATGTAAAAAAAGTGGTTTTATTTATATATGTTTATATATAAATATATGTGGTGGCCCCTAGAGACAAAACACATACAAACTCCAAAACATATTTCTAGCGTTAACTGAACAGAGCTACCTAGATCACTTAAATTACACAATTGAAAGCATATGTGTATTGTTTGTGTGTTTATACACAAGCACACATATATATTCAAATAATTAAAAAAAAAAAAGTTAATTTACCTGTTACTACCACACACCAAATCTGGTCGTTGGTACTTCCTGGCTTGTGTAGCCATTGGGTAACAAAAGCTCAACACTGCGCCTAGCATCCTGGAGCTAGGCACAGAGCCCCCCCCTCTTCCCAGCGCAAAGCACAAGGCTCGCGTGTGGAGTGAAGCGGAAGAAAAAGTGCGAGAGAGAGGGTGAGAGAAAGAAAAAAAACCATGGCCTCCCAATAAGGAGCTGGATCACATCGTTCACTTCAAAGAGTTGGCTCTAAGAGCCGTTTCGTTCGCAACCAACACATCACTAATAAGAAGGATGAGACCAGTAATGAGGAAGGCTGAGCAGTATATGATGTCGAGCTGATGATCTGGTGTGGAGCTGTTCTGCTGATGATGCTTTGACTCAGTGGAAGGAGAGACATGTGGAAAAAATATAGTAAAAAAACACAAAAAAGCAACAAGAAAATTGTGACCTGTTTGTATTCACACTTTTAAAAATGATGCTGCTAGCATCATGATGAAGAATCTGCTGAGTCTCTTGTAACAAGAAAAAAGTGATGAAATTAAAAATAAGATAATGACTTTGTTGCAGGGCAAAGACGGTGGCGCGGCTGTGGCGAGGTGGTCTCACCTGAGCAGCATCAACGATCATGCTGCACCTGCTTTAAAGGCTGAACTAGGTCCTGCCGTAATTGTTGTTGTTGTGCAGGTGCGAGCTGGAAAACTGCAGCTGGTTGTGTGTAATTGACAGCATCTGAGAGTAATAAAAGAATGCTGAAAAGCATAGAAATGTGATCGCCTCTGCCATGTGATTATTACAGACCAGTTTTTTCCTTCTTCTTGGAAGCTCACATCTCTGAATGTTTTCTGTCCACTGCTCCCAGCTCTGCTGATATGTTTAGAAGTTGTCTTCTGACCGCTTGGACAGGTTTGCTGGATCTCCTTGCTTTACGTAGAACTAGGTGAGCTGGGCTGGTGGTGCTCAAGATTTCTCAAAGCCAAAGTACCTGATAGTAAAAAGTGGGGTTGGTGATCTGATCCTGGGGATTGAAATAAAGGTTTCTTGATCCTGGTCGCTACCTTGAGGTTTGGAAACTGCAGACTTTGACAGTTGCTGACTGGTCTCTGAGTCATAGTCATTATCATAATGATGCTCCATGTGATACAGAAGTTGATGTTTGTTCTCTGCACAGGTTTGACAACTGTGGTGAAAACATAGATGCATAAATACAAGTATTCAGAAGACACACCGCTCCTCCTCTGGATGTTTTGCACCTCATCTTTGAAGAAGAGCAAAGAGCACTTTAAATTAGGTGTTAACTGTGTGGTAATGTGTCTCACAATCACATGAGGTATTTTGATCTAAATTTATATATGCTTTAACAAGATGAGTTAATGTCTTGGTTTTTGGTCAGGCTTTTATTAGAGACCCACAACCCCACCAGGAAAACCAGCAGCTGTTTATGAGGAAGTGATTCAAACCTTTGTGATATTTTCAGTTGTGATGTTTTCCAAGTTTGTGAGAAAAAAATTGTAAACATGGAAGAGAATTAATAGAAAAGTGCAAGTTTTATGAATAATTGTCCATTTTTATAGTTTGGCTCTACGTATTATCTGATTTATACATGTTTAGACTGAGTCAAAGCCGGAGACGAATATGGCATAAAACAAAAGCTAAAGTTTGTTCTCTGCACAAATTCTGATTAATTGTACAGTAACATTGTATGGTAATGTGTCACATGTTCCCACCTGATCCAATGACCAGTTCAAGTCTTGGTTTTAGTTAAAATAAAGTTTTTATAGACACAATGTCACAACACAAGAATCAGATGTTTCATTTTAGTCTCAGTTAAGGAGGGTGTTAAAGGTTAGAGGGTATGAAAAGGATTCACTGGGGAACAAACATACAGTAGGTCTGCATTTAGTTAGACAACAAGTGAGTCAAGTGACAGTCTGTCCATGTGACTGTGCCACAGCTGTTGCAACAAAATAAACGCTCCTGATGACGATTCGCCAGGAATCAGTTTCAAGTTGACGTCTCTGACTTTTGGGTTTAAAAGGAAACATGAGTTCTCTTGCCTCATGACTATGACAACATCAAAAACCCGCCGACTCACGCATCCAAACACAAACAGAATATTGCTCTTTAGCATTGAATTTTAGGCCACTTTGAATGATTTACACTCAAGACAAACTTGCATTAAGTCAAGAATGACTGAATACACCTTAACAATAGAGGTAAGTGCCAACTTTGACGAGTTTAAAACAGACGTCTTCGCATATCATCTCTCCTGTAGCCTCCTTCAGGGCTGAGAGGGAAAGAGGATGTGGTTTCAGAGTTTTTTTCTTGTCAAGTCACATTCGGTTCTCTGTCAGACATTTTTTTTATGTGAACGTCCCTGCGGTGACAAAGACTTCTGCAAAGCTGCTGAAGCCTGTTCATGCCTTAGAAATAATAAAATGACCTTCACTCATGCAGATCCCCACTGACTTCTAGCACTAACTAAATATCTGCAAATGCTGCTTCTAGTGTGTCGAATTCGTTATTGCCAAATATAATCTTCTATTACTGCACAGTGCAGACACACACACACACACACACACACACACACACACACACACACACACACATTACTACACTAAGTTGGGTTTAAAATAATTTTTGTGACAACTTTACACCAGAAATAAGGACGGGTTAGGAAACTTTAAGGAACTCAAATAAGGGTCAGTAAAAAGGGAAATCAGTGACCCAGCAAAGTGAAAGGTTCCCAAATCAACATTTTTGTGTATTTACAGTAATGTTTCTTTCAAATTTGTACACAACACTACAACAATAACTTAGTAACAAATCTAAAAAGTTATTATTAACTAATGACGAGTCTTGAGTGGGTGAATCAGGGCACATATGCCAAATGTCACCATAGTAACCGTCTCTAATTTTTTTAAAAAAAGTTGAAAATGCTGTTTGTTTGCTTCCATATATTGTCTATTCTGAAGTATGTTTCATAAAAAAATCCCCAACCCTACACAAAAACAAAAGTGTAACAGATACTTGTCTTTCCAAAAAGACTGTTCCACTTTAGCTGTCTTGTTGAAAGTTTCTTTAGAAGTCTTAAGCAATGCTGTTTTTTTTAGGATGGCGTCAGATATCTGAGTCTAAAATTAATGACAATTCCAATGACCTCTGCTTAGCTGGTAATGTTCAGTCATACAGTGCTTGAGTTGGGATAAAATTCACAGTAAATATGTAAATGCATAGAAATATAACTGCTGACCCTTAGAACAGTTTAGCAAACAAGCTTCCCTCTTATGAAATGCAGAAGTGTCTACAGTGTGTGCTGATTTTCTAACACTGGAAAATAACTCAAAATGTTAGAAATATTCCAGTGTTAGAAAATCAGCACTGCTCGGTGTTAGCCATTGTTAATCTTCAAAACTGACTAGGTTACTTTTAAACATATAACACTGTCAAAAGTGTTAATTTAACACTCAACAGTGTTGTGTTTAACACTCAGAGGTGTGGACCCATATAGACACTCTCTAGTGTTAATTTAACAGTGGAGATTTTGCTGTGTAGTAGCTGCAATCCGAGCATCCCTCACTGGCTCGCTTGTTGCTGTATATATCTGTGCCTTTGGTTATCTTACTTCTATAGCTGTTACAGGTAGGAGTCGCGTGCATGTTGCTGCTGCCTCAGTTTGAATTGGCCACATTTTTGTTGATTGGTACTACTCGTGTTTTTGTAGAGATCACCTGCGCATTATTTCCTCTGAAGCCATCAATCGATTGCTGGTATGTTTTTATTTTGTACCGTACATTTAATCATTTCACTTGGTAGTAAACAGGTGTTTCTATATATTTTGCTTTGTCTTTTTGTTTTTGCCTGGTATATGGAAGCCGGTTAGTGTGCATTTATTGCATTAAATTGTTTAATCAGAGCAGATGACAGGTCTCTCTGTGTGTGTGTGTGTGTGTGTGTGTGTGTGTGTGTGTGTGTGTGTGTGTGTGTGTGTAGCTGAGCTGCAGGTATGAGTTGATTTTCTTGTCTTGTCCTCACCTAGCATCACATTCACCTGCTGGTAACCCACAGCTCTGAATTTACAGTAAATGTACAATTGAATCCTAATTTTACTTTGATATGTTTTGATTGGCTGTCATTACATTGTTGTTTTGCACTGAAGCATGTTTCTGTCCCAAGTAAAGCAGATTTAAGAGCTGATAATTAGCATAGTTTCAAACTAAATATTCTCTAGGTGAAATTTGTTGCCGGCTTTTTCTCTTTCTTTGTAAAAGCTTTTGAGCTTTCTATTGCTGCTCTGCCATTGTGTTGTGTGTGTGTGACATCACTGGTTCCTTGAGCTCTTCCTCATTATTCTCCCACACAAAGAAATGATAAGAATCATGTGGTGTTTTTACACCACTTTCTCTTCGTCTTTATGTTCTTTATGTTACTTGCGGGTCCCTTTGTGTATCTACTGATGTTCCTCTTTTGACTGACTTGCCTCTCAGTTCCTAAACATTTTGAGATTGGCTAATTGTTCAAAAGGTTTCTATTCTGAACTCAATAAGTTCTTAAGGGGAAATTTCTGAACTACCATCATAACTAAAAAAAAAAAAGACTCAGCACAAATGCAGGCTGTGCTTAATGCGCTTTATTCTTCAAAGACAAACGTGAATAAGGCTCAAAGTAAACTCTATGAACAACATGTGAATGTGATCCTGTAGGATTATGCTAGGAGAAAATATTTGGTATGTTTTGGTAATGTAGATAAATAAATGTGTGTTTTGCGTTTGCTTTTTGTTTTCTTTCTAAACCAACTGATACAAATGCATGATCATTGTCGTTATTCTGCGTGGTTTAAAGTACATATACAGTGATGATAAACTTGTGGCTGAAGCTTGCTGCAGAAACAGGAACTAGAGCTCTGAATGCTGCAAAAATTCAACCCCACAAACTGATGTGGCACTGGTAACTTTAAACACTCCACTAGACATGAGGCCTTATTTATGAAAGTAATGAAGAAGCCACTCTAAAAAGAACATGCCAACAAGGGTTAAAGTGAAGATGCATTAAAACAAGCTACAAAACATCTAAATTAATGCTCTTTGGACATATAAGACAAAAGCGTCTATGTTCAGCGATAGTGCACAGCATCACACCTGGGGAAAACCAAACACACATGTCAGCACAAGAACCTCATGTCAACTGTTAGCACGGTGGAAGGGTGATGATTTGGGATTGCTTTGCAGTCATGAGACCTGGGGACCTTACAGTCATCGAGTTGACCATGAACTCCTCTGCATGCCCATGCAAGTATTCTAGAGCCAAATATCGATGCTATCTATCTAAGCTCAGCCGCAGCTCAGGCGTGCAGCAAATCTCCAACAGAACAGCTAAAAAAGAAAAGAATCAAGTTCAGCAATGGGCCAATCAAAGGTCAGACCTCAACCTGATTGAAATACTGTGGTGGGCCCTTCAGAGAGCCGCGTATAAACGAATGCCTCCAAGTCCCAATCAAAGGAACTTTGTAAAGAAGAGTGACCCAGAATTGAATGTGAGAGATCATTAAACTCAGTTTTTCTACATGCTGTTTCTGAATTTGGGCTTTGTTTGAGTGTTCTTGTTCATCTCAGGTTGTAAAGGATTAATTTTAGGACATGATAAAGACTTTTTATCACTGGTGTAAGTCACATAAATCCAATGATTTCTCAATTCAGATTAACAAATATCATCATTCTTGATCTGCCATCTGGACCTGTTTTTGCCCCATCTTCTCTCATCCCTGCTCGTTTTGCTAACCTCTTTGGGACTTTTGGTCATTCAGATTCAGTTATTGTAGTACCTTCACTTTTTTTTATTTCCCCCCCATTTTATGTTTCTGTGTAGTTTCTTCTTTGTTTTGCCATTTTGAGTTTGGTATTTTAGCTCATTTGTACTTCAGAGTTATTTCTCTTATTCTCATTCCTGGCTCTATAATTTGCAATTATGTTTTTCCTGATTTTGTCGGCTTCCTGCCTGCCTGTGTTTCTGTTTACAAGTTCAGTTACTTCCTGCTTTATTTTGTTTGGTGTTTTGTCTCTTGTCTTTGTATTTAGTTTCACACCCCTTCTCTTATTTTCTCAGTTAGTAAAACTACCCTCCCAGGTATCTCCTGTTTGCCCTCATCATCTTGTTTATTTATTCCTTCAGCTTTATTCAGCTTTTTTGTGTTTTTCCTCATTACATTTGTGTGTGTCTCATTTCTGTATAGTTTTTGAATCCCTGGGCAACATTTTCATTGGAATTTAGCATTAAAGCTGCCTTTTAAATGTATTTCCTGTCTCCTGGGTCCTACATTTGGGTCCAAATCCTGCCTACCAGACATGACACGTGACCTGTTTGTACTGGTTGGAGCAGGATGGGGCCCAACATAGTCAGAATACATGGAAACAGGAAGCTGGCATTTTACTGAGAAGCAACAACTGAAATTGTTTTTACAGGTTGTCACTTGCTGTTGTTTTCAGAACGTGTGAGGAAAGCACTGAATAGTTTCCTGCAAAATCTGACCAACAAACACTCACATGACCTTGAGGAAAGAGGAACATTGTGAAACTCTTTTTTTAAATAATATCATCCAGATTTGTTTCTGTCCCTTGTTGTTCTCAAATGTTTAATAGGTTCATATTAAACATTACAAAGAAATACTTCCAACCACATTTTCTCTTTCAAACAAACAAATCACTGGTGTGAACTCAAGTTCTATTTGTGTTAAATAACAACACGAATGCCTAAACCAAAAATAAATGCTGTAATCAAACTGAAAATGATCGCAGTGTATTTTCACAGAACAAAAGAATAATGCCACAGGTATGTAGAAAGGTCTTTTACATATTCTTATACTAAAACAAACCTGTTATGCAATAATTTGCAAAGACCATATAATCTTTTAAATCAATTTTAAATCAACAGCCCAAATGTTCAAACTGAGATTATTAATGTGGATGAATTAGTTATTTGTGAACAAAGTCTTTCTGGAGAACTTCAGTGTTTACCAGGGATGCTTTTAAAAAAACACATTTAATTTTGTTACATGTTATTGTGACAGACTGGTGATCTGTCCAGCGTGTACCCCTCCTTTAGCCCTATGACAGCTGGTATAGACTCCTGCATACTTAAAATGGATAAGCAGAGGAAAATGGATGGCTCAGTAATTTTGACAGCTTCTCACAACATTATTTTTAAATTTGATGCTGCAACAAATTAAAAAAAATATGTCTTTCAAAAATCACATTTCTCACAGTCAACATGTGATATTTTGTCTTTGTCCTGGTTTCAGTTCTGTTTGACATTTAATTGTAAAATGCAGCTTTCTGTTGTCATACTTAATCATCATGCTGACCTTTTAGGGAAAGAGACTGTGTTTAAAATCTGTGCTTTCAAAACAGCATAAACAACAAAACAGCTGAAACAAAACAACAAAAACTGATAAACAGATACAAACTATAAGAGAACAAATAAATATTAAATGTTGGAGTTTCATATTTACAGGTTTTCACAGCAGCATTGAGTTATGGTGTTAAATCCTGAAGCACCTTAAAGCAGGTTTGGCTAAAGGTTGTCACATTCTTGGGTCCATCTCAACTCAGAAGCAGAGCAGATTGTCTCTGACTAAAATTAATCTTGCAGCACTTTCATCAAGTTTGTGGAAAATTTTGATTCAGAACTTTTGGTCCAACAACTCAAACCAGAAATGAAAAAATAAATCCTCCTTCGAGCGGCAGAGCAACAAGTCTTCAGTTATCAGACTGACCTCTGTCCAGCAGGTATCATCCACCTGTACAGGTGTGTCCATCAGCTTTGAGGTAGTGTGGAGCGAGGAAGCTGAATTTTGTAATAAACACACTCTTGAAGCGGAGCAGCAGAGGGAGTGGGGAACTGGATCTCCTCGTACTGAAACACAACAGCAGCACTGAGTACAGGACAAAGTAGCACTGAAGGAGAACAATGAGCATGAGCTGCAGGGTCACCTGTACACTTTGAGTTACCTGTGGAGCCTCCAGCCTCTCACTGGTCCCAGCTGGAGGGAGGTTTGCCTGATATTTGCTGATTCTCCTCTTCAGAGACAGTGATACACAACTCAGACCTGCCAACAGACCGTCAGAGGAGTCACTTCACCTTCACACTCACATCAGCACTCATCACATACAACATATTTCTCCGCTCTGCAGAGAAATCTTCCAACATCTGGGACAACACCTGGACAACAGAAGCACTGCTGAAGCCTGCTGGGGCAGTGAGCAGTACGTTTGTGCTGTACTGTCTGTACAGCGTCGGCTTTCAGCCCCCATGGATTACATCTACGTACTTTGGTAATATGTGAGTAACATTAAGAATGTTGTGGGCCAACTTTAAAAATACTTATTTCCACAAATGTACAACTATAAAACTACCTCACATACTTGCAGCTTATGTGTAAAAGTTACAGTATGAACCTGCACTTGTAAATGTTTTATAAGCTGGATGAATATAAACTACAGATGCCTGAATCCACATAGTAAGAAGCGCTGCTGGAAGGAGAGGGTTACAAGATGAGTTGACATCTATTATAAAAATAAGAGGTTGGTTCAAAGCAAGCTTGACTAAAAATTACTGTGGCTGAGCTGGTTGCATTAAGTACTGCTGCATGAGTTAGTGGTAGCATTTCTGCATATCTACATATGCAACATGTTGCTGTGGAGGGGTGCTGGTATTAATAGAAGAACAGACAGACCACAGAGGTTTAGATAAAATGACAGACTCACAGGGTACTAAAAAGAGCACAAAGTTCAGGATCACTGAGCTGACGAGGAAAGTCTGCCTGTGCAACACTCCACACTCAGGGTCAGGGGTTGGACAGATATCTGGAAGAAGAAAAGTTACACATATCGAACAAGAAATTATAGTGTTTCGTAAAACTATCAGACATTAACAATGTTTTTATGTCTGAGGCCCAGCTGACTACACTTTAACAAATAGTTCATCTAGTCGACCCAAGTTACTGTTTTATATTACAGGAACTTTCAAAAGCTGAAAGAAATTGCAGTAATAAAAAAAATCGTATCTGTTTTTGTTCAGGCTTTGGGCAACGCGATTCCCGTGTTGTGCCAAAGACATTTTGCACTGGTGTTTATTTATTATAATATTAGAAATATTATTGTTTATTATTTTAACCTTTGACCATCTATGAGTTACAGTTTTGAGGATGAGTGGTAATTGATTAGTGAGCGATTAGTCTGTTGTAACTTTAGAGACCAACACAATGGTGGAAAACAAATGTTTCCAAGATTAGGTGAGTTGACAGGTTGATTTAGCAGCTGTTAGGATGATGTCTTTTTATGTTCTCAGGCACCCAAGTCAGGGAAGTCTAAGTAGCTTTGAAAGAAAGCAACTGGACTTGAAAGAAACTTTTTAGATTAGAGAAACTTAAAGTAGTCCAGTCGCTTTCTTTCAAAGCTCCTTGGAGCCTTTTATATTTCAAATTGGCAACCTGTTGAGGATCATGTCGTATTTGAGCAGTTGTCTTTAGAAATGAATGATGTCATCTTTCAGGTAAAGCCTCAAATTTTGTTTCGACTGTTCTTCTATTGTACAGTAAAGAGGTCACACTTCAAAGAAATAAGGTGGATATTACCAGAGATGGGCAGTAACACGTTACTGTAATCCGATAACTTTTTTAAAGTAACGATTAAAGTAAGGGATTACTATTGCAAAAAAGGTAATTAAATTACTGTTACTTTCCCATAAGCACGCTGCATTACTAAACCGTGATTCTCATGGCAGTGACGTAAGCGAGTGCGACGTTCGTGGCAACAGTGGATCATATATCGAGTGTGGAGAGAGTATGATCCTGCAGCGTTTAAAGCGTGGAAGTACTGACCTGACTTTCAATTTGATTCCGTCAAAAGTGACAAAAACATTAGTGTCCTCTGTTCACTGCGTGGGAAGAAAATTTCTTTTTACAGTGAAAAAAACACTTAACTTCAGAGCAAGCTGCCACGGGAATGTGAAATTCACAAATCCTTCGACACACTGCGGCACACCTGCACCAGGGTAAACCTCCGCCTGCCCCACTCCTGCTTTACAGGGGAAAACAGAGCAACAGGACCGCTGAGTCTTTGATTTTATTTATTTTCTGCTGTGTTTTACTTGCATCTATTTGAAAGACTGAGTGTAAACAAAAAATATATTTTGTTTTATGAGCTGGAATGTGTAGAAAATAAGTTTAAATGTTAAACAAATTTCCTCCAGTCAGAGAATGTTGCATATCATTTAATTTTTGCTTGATGCATAAAGTTAAAAGATTAAAACTAATAAAAACAAGTTTTAAAAGGAGACTTTTTCATTTGATTACAGTTTGTATGGGCTTAAAGATCTATCACTTTATCACCTATTCAGGTTGTAAATCATGTTTTTAAAAAGTAACTAAGTAACTGATTACTTTTGCAAATAAGTAATCAGTAAATTAGCAGGATTACTCTTGGGGGGGAAATGATCAGTAATTAGTTACTGATTACTTTTTTCAAGTAACTTGACCAACACTGGATATTACTGAAGATTTACTTTACCTCTAAATAGGACACTGTTACAATAATGACTATTTGCAGAGAACTTTTAAAACACACAGTCACAAATTTCTTTACTGATTTGATAAAAACAAGTAAAATATAAGTTTACATTTCCACACAGACAAACATGCAGTCTTACATTCAGTCACCATGTTGACTAAATGAACTATAGTCAAAATAACTGGCTAAAGATTAAGGAAAAGCTAACCTACAAAAGTTTTCAGATAATTCAAAGCAATCATTAAACTGACCAAATAAGAAAATTGCTTTCATGCCATGGTCATCTCTGGATATGAAAAAGTTCCACTTCCAGTTCCAAGACACTCACAAAATGATCAGAGGGACCAACTACTGGAATGAAGTCTTAGCAGATCTGCTATATTGCCACATACCTGATCATGTAGGGAAATATATATGCTCCAAATAAAGTTTATAAATGAATTCTAAATCTCTAGCAGCCAAGCTGCTGGAATAATTAGAGATTAGCTGAAGGTCTGAGCAATGCATGGGAATACTGAATCAGAACAATCGAGATGGGAAGAAGTTAAAGTGTGTGCTAATGGTTCCTCCGCTCGAGTGAGCCAGTGATGGTTTGATTTTTACAATGTTTCTAGATGAAAGAAACAAGACTGGGTGAGCTTTGTGATGTAAAAGTTAAATATCAAGATTCAAATGCTGATCAAGAACAACACCAAAGTTGTGATGGAGGAAATCTCACCAAAATTACATCAAACTAGTAACAGCTATGAAGTAATCACTGTGGTAGGAGGTAATAAATCTTCTATCAGTGATAAATTCAGGAACATTTTGTTTTATCTCTAGAGACAAGCCTATCACTGCATTAGTCACAACAGGGAGCTTCACCTATTACAGTCTGTGGTTTCCAACATTATACAAAAAAGCAACCATGAATGCACTGCACCACATAAATACCTCTGGTGCGCCGCAGGGAAACTGTCACCACAGCCACCAAAGCCTGTGAGCTAAAGAACAATGCAATTTCAAACAGCATGATACAGATCTGCAGGAAAGCGTAATGAGTTTTTGACTAAGAAATAGCTTCACTAAAGCGTACCAGTGAAACTGTGTACAAACAATTACAGTGGAACCCCGACTTACGAATACCCTGTTTCACGAAAAATTCAATTTACGAAGGCACTGAACGGCAATATTTCTGCCCGTGTTAAGGCAAAATGCCGCTTTCTCTGATTGGCTGAGCCTACAATGCCCACAATGCCTTCCGAATCATGTGACATCCCCTTGGCTTCTGTACTTGCGCTTTGCTGTTCCACTTGAACGACATATTGTTGTTCTAGTTAGCAATTAGCCTATAGCCTATCGTTCAGCATCGCCTCACTCAAAACGCGCAATGGGTGCTTCGACTTACGAAAATCTTCGACTTACAAAAGACCCTCGGGAACAGATTCATTTTGTAAGTCGGGGTTCTACTGTATTAATAAATGTAGTTTTAGTTATCAAATACAACTCTTTTTTTTAAAAATATATATTTTTCTTTTCTTTTTTTCCATTGTGTCCTTTGGCCCTTAGAAAACACAACATGCAAGATACTGAGAGCTCACTGAAGTTACACATTTAAGTTATCTTTATTAATCCTTTATATCCAGGTAAAAATCTCATTGAGGTTAAACATTTATTTTCCAAGAGAGACCTGGCATCATGGCAGGTCTCTCAAGTAAATCAATAGTAATACGTACTTCTGTTATTATCAGCATTAAATTTAATAAACTTTGTATTTACCTGAGACGAGGCTGAAACTCTCCACAAACTGAACGCTGCCTCCTCTCTTGATGGCACAGAAGTAAAGCCTGCAGTCCTCTGTTGTGAAGTTTTTAATCACGAGTTTGTTTCCCAGGATTGAAAATTTGGTTTCAAAATCAGGAGAGTAGTAGGTAGAGTCTGCTGAAGAAAAACTGCGGCCGATACCTGCTCTGAACTGACTGTAGATCTCCATGTACCAGTATGTGTCTGATGTCTGATTGGAGCAGGTTAGAGTGACATTGGTCCCCAGCTCTCCTCTGACCTCGGTCATGTTCTCGGCCTCTGCACAGAGCAGAAGCACCAACAGGATCATCCACAGGAGAACCATGATCAGCTTCAGCATCCACAATAAGACGGAGTCGTCTGAAAGCAGCTCTGATGGACTGACACAGAAGTGCTCTACACTTCCTACTTCAGGCGGTGATTATGTCGTGTGCGATAAACCACAAATACCAAGTAACTCTCACAGGAAGTGAAACCTTCTTTTTACCTCCAGCCTGACTTCTGTAGCAGGAATCTGACACGGAGCTTTCAGACTCAGTTCTTCTGGAACTGAATTTTCACATTACGAATGGTACTGTAGGAGTAATAACAACACAAGAAAGGGGGAGTTTAAAATCAGCATGAGAGAACAGTGTTTCGTTTAAAGTACAAAGCACAGGTAGAAAAACAAGCAGTCATAGTATATGTTTTAGTAGAAAATAAACAGACATGCAGATACAATGAATGAATCCAAAACTATCCAGATTTTAACACGTCTGAACTGACTCAGTCCTGTTTCTCTGTAAATAAAAAAAATCTTCATCTAGAACTTCAACTGTTACTCCAGTGAAACACATCTCAAGTCAAATCAGACAGTAAATTAAAGGACAGTATATTTAACCCCTTCAAACATGGCTTCGCGTCTGTTACACCACAGCGCCTCCAGTTGTATCCAAATATTACTGCAATCCACAACCCACTGAATTCCTATTACAAATACTTCTATAACCTCTACTGCAAAAGCAGGTATTAAACTCTTTACACTCAATATTTTCACTGAAACTTTAACTACTGTAATTACAGTGTATTCCATTCAAAGTGTATTAGAATGACTACTTTCACTACTACACTCTGTACTACAAATATTACTCAATCTGATTAATCTAATTCAAATATGAAACTGCTGCCTTTATCATAGCAGCAGTGAAGCATGATGTGAGTGGCATTTAGCTACATCTGCATAACTGCAACAATAACCACTACACACTCTGACAGTACATTTTACTAATGCTCATCAAATAGCCTTCTGCCCACAGCCCTGGTTTTAGTGCCTGCTATTACAACCTAAAACTATGACAAAGTTGCTCCTCCATTTGCAGCACTACTATCATCTATGTTCTGTTTATCCGTCTGTGACTGTTTACTGTTACCGTGTTACTGCGAAATGATCAGTTACAACTTCTGTTAATGACAGATATCAGCCTGTTACTACCTGTGCAGTTAAAGCTGATCCCTGAACTGGGTCAGACTTCCTTGAATTCAGCCTGAAGATGGTTCCAGTTAAGAAACTGTTAGCTGACATAAAATGTACTTTACTATATACATGACTGATGTCTTTAAAGGATATCTAAAACACAACAGCAAACACTTAAAAGATATTTGAACTTGCATGCATGTATAGATGGTGCATCAACACTGATGCAGTTTAAAGTTAATCAATATATATGAGGCCAAAACTACTTAAAAATATTTGACCAGAATTGAACTTTTCATTCATTTGGAGCTGTGAGCCTGTTGTGAACCTTATGTTGGAGCACATACGCAATTCTGAAAAAGTTGTTACACCGTAAAACATTTTGAAGACAATTGTTTTGAGACATTCTTCTTCCATCAAATTTAAACTACATAAATATTTTTTTTCCAAATTGTACTTTTCCTTAGTTTAAACGTGCTATTGTGAATTAAACAGGGGTTGATGAGATGATGAGTAAAATTATTAATAACACCTGAGATGAGTGATACCTTTAAAGTAACACACAGGGACAGCACCAGCAGTACATGTTTAATAGAAGTAACAACAGCCATAATATGGTTTGAATTTATAAAGGTCAGAGCGAAGATCATCAACACATGCGAGCAGATCAGCTGTTTTCATCTTCTGTCTCCAAACTGTTGCTGCAAAGAAACACAAACATGAACACAATCTGAAAACAGTGAAAAGGTCAAAGCAGACAAGCTAACACAGGTGGTACATTTTCTAATACTGTAACATTTCTAAAACATGACATTAATCATACATGAGTGGAAAAATGCGTCTTCAGCTTCACTTTGTCAAGTGTAGGCTGTGTACAGGCAGGATAGGAGGACCCAAAGTGCAGACTCATGGAGGCAAACGTGAACTCAAACTCAGCTTTTATTGCTGGATGGCAGAACAGAACAGTAAACTAAATAAACTGAGAATAAAGAGAGCTAAATTGGCAGGCAGGCAGAACACACAGCAAGGGATGATAGAGATCACAACACAGACAAAGGAAAACACAGGGCTTAAATACACAAGCTGTGCCCTAAAATGTCGGCTGCATCCTTCGGAGGACCCGGCCTTTGCGGTCTACGTGGGCTGGGTCCTTCGAAGACCGAGTAGGCCGGAAGAGTGAGGCTGTGAAATGGGACGGTCTAGCCTTTTGATTAGCATCACCGCTGTCTCGGTGGAGTTTAATAAACTAAGCCGTCTGCTCCTTGCTATCTAAAATATAATATCGACCATCTCACACTTTTGTTTCATCAGTTTTCTGTTTGACGTTTATTCAGCTGTGTGAAAATCCCAGAGGAACCCACCAGATGGATTAATAAAATTTTATTTAATGTAATCTAAGTGAATAACTCTAATCTCAGCCAAACCGATTTACTACGGAACAAATAAAACACAGAAAAAAGCCAAACAATTACATTTTAAAGTTATCTGAGTGACTTATATATCGTGTTTAACCTGTGTAGCGAAAGACAGCGGGGGTCTGAAAACAATGAAGCCGGGAGTCCACTGCTCTCGCCGGGTTAAGTGACCATTGAACCCCCCGGCTTGCTATCGAGCGGGTGGGTAGCAGACGTCTCAGAAAACGTTGGCGCACTTTTGCAAATATGCGATGTCTTGATAAACCAAGCAGTTATTTAAAGTTTACACAGCAACTTTCTCGCCTGAAAATATGTTAAACGTTTATTTTGTGACCCAGAAAGAGTAATAAGAGTAATATTAAAACTTAGTAGTGCCCGCCATTGTTGGAAACTGGAATTGGCTGTGCCGCGCTATGAATTCTGGGATATAGTGGGGCCACAAAGGACACACCTGACCCATCCTTCAATTTTGGGCAAAATAAAGGACGGATCAGTTGGACACATTTGAAGGAGTCGAGGAATTGGGACAGCCTTCGTCACCTGGCTGTGGCGTAAGCCTTCAAATGTGGCCTACAGAGGATGCAGCTTACGTTTTGGGACACAGTTACAGAGGGAGCAATCAGGGAATGGGAACAGGAGACACAGACCTTCAAAGTAAAACAGGAAACAACAACTGAACTTACAGACTGACAAGCAGACGCTGCAACAGAGGGAACAGGGACGTGAGACCAGGGCAGACACAAACACGGACTGGACACAGAACAGAGGGAGTATGGAAACCAAAACTGAAGAACTACAAAATCTCACACCAAGAAGAACTGAGGAAAATAGAAATACAAAACAGAAAGCAAAACCTTCACAGTAATAAACCGAGATGAGAACACAAAGGTACAAAACTGAAAACACTGGGTCAACAACACAGGTACCCTAACACACTTCAGTACATGGAGGGTTGGAGTGGATCTCATCCTGAAACAGAGAGCACAAATAATCAGCACTCTGTGATTGTACCATTGATATTGGTAGTAAAGTTAACAGCAGCAGAAAAATGGCATTAGCAACACTAAATCCACACACAGAGTGGGTTAAAGCAGTTGTGAGTCATGGTTTAAGAGCTTTGAGGTGAATGTTGTGGTGATTTGGCGCTCTGTAAATAACATGACATGAAAAGTAGTAATAGTTACAACTGATATTAGCATTAATGTCTTTTTAACAAATACAGCTAACATGTATATATGTACATGTGTACTGTATAACTGGTGTCAGCAGTCCCAGCTGGAACTGTTTACCTGGGCACTCTGCACAGTCTCTGCATTCCAATTGGTCACAGGCTGAGGGCTGCGCACCTGGAGAGATTTCCTCTTCATCCACAGAGACATAAAAGCCACAACTGCCAGCAGAGCAATAACCCGTTAACTGTCAATCAACATCCTCACTGAGAGACTCATAAACATGTGAGCATGACCCCAAAATGATTACTGTGTTCATCTGGACGTAGTGTTTTGGGTCAGAGAAATGTTTTGTCACTCATCTAAGTGACTTCTTCAGATTCTGAGACTGAATTTCTTTACCTGCGTGATTAAGCATGCATCAAAACGTGACTTTTTTCCTAAAAATAAATAATAATAACAATGATAATCAGATCTAAGCAGAGTATGATCCAGATTAAAAACTAAAATTAATGCCTTCTTCCTGTTTTTCTTCCTGCAGTAATCGAACATGTCTTATTAAATTCAGCTTGGTTGATTCTGAGTGATTTTCCAGCACGGAAAATAACTCAGTGCTACGGATATAATAAATATTGGCTCTACCAATGTTAATCCAACAAATAAGACTCACCCAGTATGACAAAGGTGATGGCAGTAATGAGGAAGGCTGAGCGGTATATGATGATGAGGTGATGCTGTGATATGGAGCTGCTCTGCTGCTGAGGGTCTGACTCAGAGGTTGGAGAGATATCTGGAGAAAGAAAAACTGGGAAAAAAGGGTGAAGATGAACTGAAAATCTAAAACAGAAAAAATGAAATGAAATTCCTAAACTTTGACACAGCCAGGAGGAGGTAATCGTGGCAGGCTTTTCAAGTCCCTTTCTTGAATCACTTCCCTTGTTTCCTAGTGTCTTTTTGAATTTATCATCAGATTATCTTTTTAAGTCTTCCTTCCCAGAAACAGACCATACAGTTTTTAGAGGTTTCTTAAATTATTTTTTCTACATATGTTGTTTCACATTTTAACACTGAATGATTGCAGTTGTTGATTACCATAAACATGTCAGCATTTTACTTATTTTGCTTCTGTAGTTTTCAGAGTCAAAAACTGTGTACTTACCTGAGATGAGGTGGAAAGTCTCCACAAAATGAATGCTGTCATCTCTCTTGATGCCACAGAAGTAAAGCCTGCAGTCCTGTGCTCTGAAGTTTTTAATCACGAGTTTGTTTCCTAGGACTGAAAATTTGGTTTCAAAATCAGGAGAGAGGGTAAAATATGTTGAAGAAATCTGGCAGCTGACACATGCTCTGAACTGGCTGTAGATCTCCATGTACCAGTGGGTGTCTGAGGTCTGATTGGAGCAGGTTAGAGTGACCTCTGACCCCAGCTCTCCTCTGACCTCGGTCACCTTCTCGGCCTCTGCACAGAGCAGAACCACCAACGGGATCATCCACAGGTGAACCATGATCAGCTTCAGCATCCACAACAAGACGGAGTCGTCTGAAAGCAGCTCAGCTCTCATGGACTCTCTAGTCCTCTACACTTCCTGCCCCAAATGCTGACTTCAGCCTATATGACACCTGATAAAATACCACAAGTACCAAGTACCTCACAGGAAGTCCAACTTGTGCACCTTCACTATGAACGCTGCTGGATGGGTTAATATGAGAGACTTTCTGTTGCTTTGTG